GCATCTTCATTTTAAACTGAAAAAAAGAAAAAAGAAACAAACAACACTAATATATTGTGATGAGACAAAGTAATAATGCTTACTTCACATTCTATTATACACAAAAATCAAATTAAATCAATATATGCTTCCTTATTTAATAGCACCCACAATGACAAAAGACAAATAGACATCAATGCTAAATGATCACCAGAAGGGTAAATGTTTTTTGAAAAAACAAGACCAGGCCCAAACCCAGCAACAGCATACGAATCAAGGCAGCCTAACTTGCCTTGTGTACAGGAGGGCTGTCAGACTGCTTGTCATCAGGATCACAACTAGCTAACTTCGTTGCATTCATTGCTTAATATGAAGAGTACAGACATGTCAAGAAATGCAACCGGTGCAGCTTAACTGTTCTGATGCAATATTACAGGGAAAATGTTTTCTATTTAATATTAGTCATCTATTTAATATAGATCAAGAACCAAGGACTAGAACAATTCCTTCAATATTTTAGCACAACAGCTCTCTTCCAGTAAGCTTTAGAGACAGTACTTCATATCCTGATGCCTGAACACAATACAGTGTAAAACTGCAACAAGATGACTAAGAAAGTAATAAAAGATAAGAAAATTGTAAGTAAAGGTAAAATACTGTATGACAATATATGCAAAACATTATTGATCAGAGATTTAAAAAAAAGGGGCTGGTAAAAACAAATACCCTTTTGGAATTTAAAAGTTTGGAAATTACAAGATTAAATTTAATATAAATTTACATAAAGGGAATGAAAGTTATGGCACATTACAGGGCTGTTCCTGTAATGGCTGAATATGGTCCTGAAGGGTTATCGTGTGGCCTATAGGCTTCTGCCCAGCCTCCACTCCACTCCACTCCACTCCACTCCACTCCACTCCACTCCACTCCACTCCACTCCACTCCACTCCACTCCACTCCACTCCACTCCACTCCACTCCACTCCACTCCACTCCACTCCACTCCACTCCACTCCACTCCACTCCACTCCACTCCACTCCACTCCACTCCACTCCACTCCACTCCACTCCACTCCACTCCACTCCACTCCACTCCACTCCACTCCACTCCACTCCACTCCACTCCACTCCACTCCACTCCACTCCACTCCACTCCACTCGCAGCCAGGTTGTTTGGATTCCTCCTCCTTCCTCTGGTTTATACTTTCTGCCTCTAATCCTATGGGCATGGGAGCATAGCAGGAGAGGGTTACAATCCCATGATGCATGTGCACTAGGGAAGGGGCTGGACTGTTCATGTTGCTCACGCATAGCAGGAGCAGTGCAGTGGGTGGCACATGAAGCTGGCAGGGGAAAAGAGGGGGAGTGGGGAGAAGGGCGAGGAGCTGAGATGACTGTACTGCAAGGAGGGTGGAGGGGTCTGCCCGCATGATATGCAAGGCTGGGAGGGGAGTAGCCAGGCTGCCCACCCATCTGACCACATGGCATGCAGCCTGTGCAGCTTACAGTCCCCAGGCCTGAGGCCCATGCCGTATGCAGACCTCAGCTTCCTGGAACTTAGACAGCCCTGACATATTATATACTAAACCACTGTACAATATTGTACCTGCATTTTGTTCAGGATTCAACTACTGGATTTACACAATCACACTATGTTTAATAAGAGAGGGTTAAATAGGGTTTTAGAGCACTGTATAAAAAGATCATATCAAAGTAAGATTCCGCATTGAGTAAAAATCTATTTTATACTCTCATTTCTATTTTATAGTTCTATATTTTTTCTACCTCACATCATTTAATTGCCTCTGGAGAAAAGGCAACATACCGCAAAGCAACAAAACTATGTACAAATAGAATTGCTGCTGTTAAGTCTCTCAGAATCCAATCATAGTACAAACATCATATATTTTTAAGCTCAGATTCCTAAGCACTCTCTCCTCAGAAAAGTTTTGCTAATAATTTAAATAAATTACCTCCTGTATATAAATATTTTTTTTAAAGCCAGTCTTTACTGATACATTCATCCATAGTTTACAAGAGGTGAAACAGGTGTACATTACATGCATATGAACACACATAGTCAACATTAAAAACTAGTAAACTATTAAGAAATACTGACTTTGGGTTTGAACCCTTTCCAGAGAATTAATTCATATTCCAAATCTTTTCTCTGTAGATTATGCCAGCTATGTAAAAAGTAGGTCAGTTTCCATATCTGGTAAGCCTTTGCTTAACCCATCATATGCCTTTTTGCAAATATACAAAATAACTTGAAATGCATTAAAACCTTTCAATAGTCATTTTTAAATACTATATACATGTCTGCTTTCTAAGAATAAAGGACACTGCATGTGAACAAGTCTCTTCATTCACTTGTTTTTAATATTCTGTAACTTGATATTTTTTCTTCTAAAAGACATGTTTAAAGTCAAACATTTACATAAAAAATAAAAATACCTCCCATTTAACTGCTGTGTCAGAAAACAAAAGCAAAGCTAACGCCTCATTTATTCTGCCATGAAAAACGCTGAAAATTTTCTCCGCCCAGGACTCATTTAAACAGCAAGAATAAAAGTAGCTTGTGAGTAAAATCAAGACAAAAAACTGTATCCAAAGCACAAACATGACCCAGTAAACAAATTTTAGAGCATAAAAACAAACATAGCCAAAACACAAGTATGCTTTCTTAGCTTCTCTCAAAGAATGGAATTAATTATACCTGTATCTTCAGCCATGACATTAGTATCTTTTATCCATGGACAAAATAAGTGTATCAGAGTCCAAAATCAATGTCCAAGCTGGACTCAGGATTGATTTATCCTCACTCTAGCCTTGCAACAGTGACAAAAAAGTTTTGTAAAGCTAACTCAGCTAGAACCAGAAATTGGACCCGACTGCAAGTCTTCTCCAAAGCTATTTTTAGAGCAGCCATCCTCACAAGCCAAACATTTTAAGCACTCATATGGAAATATAGTGCTGACGACAACCAAATATACCCCCTCCTCCTAACATGGCATCCTGGGTAGTTGGTCTTTTCTCCTCCCTTTATTCCGTACATGCCGAACATACCAGGGAAATGAAATGGAACAAACTGAGTTGCAGTATTTTTGTTGCGAGATATGCCTCAATGCCCAAGTTCTAAGGGCATTAAATTTATTGGTATTAACTGAACAAAAGTCTGGACACCAAACCCGTTCTGTATAGAGCTGGCTCTCACCAAAAAAAAGCTTGCCCTTTTTTGGCACATACCCTCAGACTTTTCCTAGTATCCTTCATGGCTAGTTTGTTTTAAAGTTGTTCTTACCTACAACATGGATAAGAACAGTTAAGTAATCAAAAATAAAACCCATCCAACACTTGCATGAAGTCTGAAACGTATCTAGGAATAAGTTTGTGCACACTCCCTAAAAAGAACTTTCAGATCAAATTTTCTCTCTTCAGCTGCATCTTGCCTTCAACTCTAGCATATTTAAATGAGGGAAGGACTATGGCAATCTTTTGCAAGAGCAAGAATATACCTTGATTTCTCAGTCCCAAAATGAAGTATCAGAATAGGCCAGAACAACCACAAACGTGCCAAGCAAAATCCCTCTCCTCTTAATTCTGAAGCCCTAAGTTTCACCTTCATCATTTTAAAACCAGACGAAGTGGTGACCTGTACTCTTTGTGGTTTTATTAAAGGTTAGAAATAATAGATTTTACAGGGCTGACCCTGGGCCACAGCACACGGGACACAGCCTCCTCCCCCACCCAGGAATAACACTGGCAGTGCATAAACCTTGTCCCCACCCACCCCCAGCAGCACACAAGCCCCACCCCAAGCAGTGCTGGTGCTGTGCAGATCCCTGCCACGCAGCAGTAGAACAGATGGCCACTGAAGCCTGCGGACCACATGCCAGCCCCTTGCAGGCCACCAGTTGGACAGCCCTGGTACAAGGTTCCCTCTAAGGTGCGTGTGCGACGGCGCACAAATAAAAGTCTGGCCACACACAAACTTTTTTAGGCCACACACCCACTGGGACAGGAGCTGGGCTATGGCTTGGAACACTTACAGAAGGTAAGTTCCTCCCCGAGGCGAGGCAGGACCCTGGCGCGAGCTCCGCCAGCTCCAGAGAACTACTCCGCTCCCCCACTTCGCCTCAGGGAGCGAGGAGGCACATGGCCTTAGGGCCAGGGAGTGGAGCAGTTCCCCAGAGCCGGCGGAGCCCACAGAGCAATTCTCTGGGGCCAGCAGAGCCTGTGCCAGCCCCCAGCCTCGCCTCGCCTCAGAGAGGAGCCTATCCCAAATGAGGTTCTGCCGGCTCTGGGGAACTGCTCCACTCTCCAGCCCTGACGCCACGTGCCTCCTCGCTCCCCGAGGCAAAACGGGGGAGCGGAGCAGTGTCCCGGAGCTGGTGGAGCCTGTGCCAGGGCCCAGCCCCCACTGCCTGCCCTGGGTGAGAAGCTTACCTCTGGTAAGTGTCCTACGTTGCACTGAAGTGGTGTGCTCAGATTGCTACTCCTTAAAGGGAACACTGCCCTGGTATATAAGACTATTTTTCCAACAAAGAAGGAACTCTTAAAGTAAAGTGCGTCTACACTTTAATCCCTCTCACACTGAACTTACCTGGTATTTTTCCTTCTGTAACTGAAATAGGAGACCAGTACAAGCATGCAAACTGGCAAAAGTCTGTAGGTCCAGGTAGGAAAAAGCAGGAAGGGACTTGCGTTACAGCACCTACCTGCCTCATTTTAGGTGGCTATGGTATCTATGGCATTTCCCATATTGTTGCTGTGGACAGTGGTGAGGAAAGCTGCTGGACTCCAGTCTGGGCCTATGTGCAGTATTCAAATGACTAAATTATAATATCAGTGCCCTTTTGCACAAGAATGTAAACTCATGGCTGGGACCACCTGAAACATAATACAGTTAATCTCATCTCTGACTTTGGTATCAAGTACATCCCATGTCCAGCTACTCTGAATTGATTATGAATACATTCCCCTTTCAATGTGATTGCCTCTTCCTTGTCATCAGATCCCTCACCAATCTAGGTGCCTGTCTGTACCAGAAAATATTTTGGGTTCCACCCTGTTATCACAACAACCTATACAGTGCCTTACCATTCAAGGTCTAAGGTGCTCACGTCAAGTAATCAAGTCCTACTGCAATTAAAACAAGTAGCATACCTCCGGTTTAGGGTGCTGGGCTCGAGCAATCAAGCCACACTATAGTTAAGCAACTGACAAACCTCCAGAGTGATCAAGGGATTTTGTGCATGTCAGTTTCACCCACAACAACCAGAGGTGGATCCAAAAGGCTAAAGTTTACTCCACAATCAAAAAACAATGACCTCCACATTGTCAGCTTTGTCTGGACCCTGATCTTCAACCCATCAAGAAAAACATGTTTTGAAGAATGAGCATAAGAGAAGGACGGAGCTGGCAGCAAGGGGTGCTCATCTCAGATGTGAAACACCACACTGACCCATCATAATCTGCAGCCAGCTGACCACCCTGGGTGACAGATCCACACCTGGTGAGAGGCTGCAAAGATCAGAACCACTTCCTTGCCCATGCTGATGAGAAAACCACTATTATGGCTAGAAATACACTGGATTTGATTATAGCTTGTTTTACTTGTAGATTGCAATAGCATACCTGTCATTTTCCCATATAGATCGTTTAGTTAATAAAGACTTTCTGCTTATTATCGATGGAAATGTCATGTCGGTCTTCCCAAGCACTAAGCACCCACTGTTAATTGCAAAAGAAGCCATAGAGGCTCACCACCATCCTTTCTTGTACAAACAGGAGGTGGGGGTCATGAAGGAAAAATAGTACTAGTCCCCCACATCCTTTCCTCATCATCAGAGCCAGGGTATTGCCCTTTAGGGGCCACTAGGAAAAAGGGGTAAGGGGTACGTGTACGTATACATGTATGCTGAAGGCATAAGTTTATCCTTTTCGGGGGAAGGGGTAGTAGGTTAATATTGTACACCAGAAGTTACAGTAAGCAGGAATCTGCTACATTTATCCCAGGAAGCTCTCTGTTTTTCACCCCCTTTGGGACACAATTCTTATTCTGTACTAGGAAAATAACAATCTATAATTCTCCCACATCTGTGGTGGAAATTTTTAGGACACAGCTCAGGCTTCGTTTAATCACCAGACATAAGAAATAGCACAAAGGAAGAAAGCATAGCTCCTCTGCTTTTGATAACTGGGAGCAACAATTCCATAATGAAATCCATATGCAGTGGGTGGGTGCCATGCATTCTGGATCAGCTGGAGCAGGTGCCACGTGTAGCATCAGTCCCAGACTCTGTGAGCAGGGCCAGCCCAATGCATACCGTGTGCGGCATACAAGTCAACTTCAGACCACCTGAAAACACCAGGAGCCGGATGATGGGGCTTTGCAAGTTGAATCCATCTTTAAAACACTCCTGATCTAAATTATACTTCTTCTTTCTATAGACAATTAATAATTACATTTTCTCAATGTACAACTATTTCCCTATTTGTCCTTAAAATCTAAGAACTAGAAATCTAAATTTGGACTTCTACTTACCCACAAACTTTTCATTTTTCTCCTTCCTCCTGCTGTAATATGTGAATTTTCCCCAATTAAAAGATGAGCTAACCTGTTTGCTAATGCATCTTCCATGTCCAATGTAGAATAGGATAATCTGGGTATGACAGAGTGCTACTTTCAGGGTGTGACTTTCGAATTTAGAAGTCGGAGTGCCAGTCAGCTGATCAGTCAAATAATACCAATCAATTTCCTATTACTTAACCATGCTCAAATATTCCCTGAAGTTAATAATACTCTTGGGTAGATAGTGGCTTACCTTCTTACTGAATCATGATGTTATCTATTAGCAAGGACAGAAATGAGGCTCTTTGACCCTTTTCCAGGGGTGACGCATAGGTATGCACATGCACCCCCTGAGTGTGGCGGTGCACCCCCTACAAAAAGGCGCTGCTCGCACAGTCGGTGGCACCTGCGAGCAGTCATCGCCAACACCATCTGCGGGCAGTCCATGACCCCCACTGACTGCTGCCAATGCTGCCGGTAGCACTGACCCTTGCTTGGTGCTTGCCAACCCGCCCAGGCCCCCCGCTGCCGAGACAGCATCGGCAGCATCTACTGGAGCTCCCCTGCTTACCGATGCTGAGATCCCGCCGCTCCCACCACCGCTGTGCCCCCCGCAGCCACCAGGGGCACAACTTCTTCATGCTCTTTTCCTTTTTCCCTCCCCACCCCAGCACAGGAGCCAGGATCCACACACACAGGCACCTCCATGCCCTGCTTCTCTTTTCTGAGCTTTTTCAGGTTCCTTTTCCCTTCCCCCACATTAAGCAACATGAGGTTTCAGGTACAACTCTGTGCTGAGAAAGTCATAACCAGCGACATAGAAAAGCTTCTCCTACTGGCTGGCTGTTATAATTATAGTCATCTCCCAAAAGGAAAAGGCAAACAGCAAAATACTTTAAGAGTTAGCTGCACACGTGGTTTTTAAAGGTTCCAACACATAGGGACTCCAGAATCAAGAATCCTCATCCTGATCCCAGGGTCCCAACCTCCCGGGACCTTTGAAAACCATTCATGCAGCTGGGGCACGCACACAAGCTGAACAGAGCAAGGGTAGAAGATTCCTAAGAAGTCTTAGACCACAAAGCTTTATATCAGCAGCAGTTTCTCTCTTCCTAAACAAGCTTTCCACTACTAGATTTGCTATATTCATGCTCAATAGCAGTCAATAATCCTGGTGTCAGAAGTGACTGTACAAATACATACATACACACACACAGACCCACACAGGTGCATGCACATACACATGTTACAAACTTCTCAGTCATGTACTTGAAAGTTACATGGTTTATTGAATAAGCCACAAAGCTCTAAAAGAAGCTTTTCTAGTCTCAGATACAAATACAGGTGTTTTAAATCCTGCTTTGTTTTTAAG